TAGTTTGTTCGACCATGTGTGGATGCTGTTTTATTGCAATTAAATGTGTCTAAAATCGAAGTCTGAGTCTTCAATTTTTTTTCCTATGTGAAAAAATATAAACATGTTTCCTATCCCATTGCGACACCGAATGAACAGTATTATTTAGTTTCTCTGTTAACTGCTCAGTCATTTAGTTCAAGCTTTGCTTCTACTGTCACCACCAGTTTCTAGCACTCGAAGTTAGGGCTGAAAGTTGCCTATGTCTCGACCCATTGGATTCACGAAAACTTCGACCAGGAACGTTCGATACGTTCCCGAATACATTGGTCCCTTCCCGACTAAAGTTCACCGAGGAAAATAAAATTTCGACAGTATCGCTTCATTTAATTTCTGACGAGAGCGCGGAACGTGTTTCCCGCGAAGTTCCAATAATCGACGACGCGAACTTCCTAGTGGTTCCCTTCCTAACATAATTTCTCGTTTTGTTTCACGCACGAGAGCGCTTTCCACCCCCGCACAGGAGAAGTAGACGTTCCGAAACTACCGCGAACAGTATCACGGCCAACTTTCCACTTATCGCCAAGAAATCGAAAATTCCTTTCGGTTCGAAGAATACCCGGGTCTTCCCGAAGAAATTTCGAAAAAGTTTCGCTTCCATTAGGCGACCGAGCTCCATCATGTTGCGGCTTATTGTGTTCGTTAAAAACTCAGATTCGAAACGAGCGAACTTTCGCGCAGCTCGTTACTTCCCCTTGGTTCCATTCAATTTAGGGGTCACCCCGTTTGCCACTTATTTATTGACTGTTTTCAATTTACGACCAACGAAAGTTGGCTCAATTCATTTAATTTCGTTTAGAAGGGGAGGCACTGCAAGGACGTAGCTAAGTTTAACGAATCCTCAGCTAGAAGTCATGTTGGAAGTCTTACATTTATTGAAATAAATCTTAATTTAATGCTAAGTAGAAGGTGACACATTTTAATAATATAATTGAGTATTTCATTTGGGGGAGGGGGTGGCTAAAATAGCGTAGCTAAGTTTGAAGTCTCATTTTTATTATAACAATTCTTAATTCGATATAAAGTAGAAAGTGAGACCTCTTAATAATGTGAGTATCTCACTTGCGATTTCTTTAGAAGCATCCCAAATATTGTAACTCCAATAATTCCACATGTTCTGTACGGATGAATTTCGTAGTGTCCCGTTCTCGACGAATGCGCGCCGTCTGACTCGTGACGGAGCAGTTTAATGATCGTCCTCATTTGATTAAAGCGTTTTACGGCTTTGTTTGCAATCGAAGTCTTTGCCATCGACTGCATTTATACTGAAAAACAGCAAGTGCCCCGCGGGACATTTTAAACTTTTGTTTTTTATCATTATTGCATTGTTCCGACTCGTGCGTGAATAAAAATGTGACGACGTAAAATCTACGAATTCATCTGAGAAGTGTAGAGACGAAGGTAGCCACTAAAAAGTTTTTAGAGAGAGCTAACGTAAGAATTTTTCTCGTTTAATTTAGAAAAGTAAAACGTACGTATTTTCTGGAGCAGTTTCTAACCCAACATGGCGTGAGAAAATTTAATTTCGCTTAACACGACATTTCGTTTTGAAGAATAATTAATCCCCGAGGGATTAGCACGATCTTTCAATTACACGAAGTTCTTCAATAGAGTGTTTCATTACTAAATTACACGCGCACGAAATAATTACAATTAGGGTACATGGGCAGTGCTCCTTTATACGCGGCACGCATTAACAATACGAATTAGCCACGAGATAATGTGACTAATGAGGCGACGTTTCAACCAACAAAGAAACTGTTTCACAAAGACAAGAATTCTATAATATTTTGTTTCGTATCTACGTTCAAATTCTAACTTAATGAAATAAATTTCGTCAACAAAATTTGAATTTTCTTCTTATTCATCCTATTTATAAATTTCCGAAAAAACGAGCAAAACACGAGTTTTCCTAATACCGTTAGCATTAGGTGTCATATCCAAGAGGAAATTTACGTAGAGGAGGCTTTAATTATCTTAAGCAGTATAAAACTAGTTGATCACTAAATGTCAATGCTTTAAAGTTTGAAGGTTCCGTAGGATAACAACGTTAGCGTAATTCAATTAAGCCATAAAGTACGAAAGCATAGAAGCTGATAGCCTTCACGCTATACCGAAGCCTTCCTTAATTAGTAACGTTTTCCCAGATATTCGAGACATTCAACTCGTGATCTTTTCCAAGAAACATCCTTCTACCTTCCCCCACCTAACGTAGATCCGCCCTACAGCCAATCAGATATAAGAATGATTCGCAGCTTTCACCCACGTCTGAACTTTAGTCACGACCACTGTATGGAGTCACAGTCAGTCTCGTGCAAGCTTATGGAGGTCTTGGTTCGAATCTATCAAAGTCTCATTCGTAACCTACCACGTGTAAAGTAAGTTTAAATATTTGAAATTCAATCTGGATTTATTTAAAAATATTGTCAACACCCCTGTGCACAATAATTGCACTCGAAGCGAACAATTATCACGAACAGAATCGGCTACATAAATTCAAGGTTGGAGTTTAAAGGTAACGAGTTCTAATTGATTAAAATCACAGTGAAGTAACGAAATTTGAAAAATAGAATTTGTATTTATATGGAAACTATATTTGCATTAAATGTAATCTTTATAACGAAACATTTACAATATTTTAAGCTTCATAGGAGTGTCTAAGCATGACTAATTGCACTTTACGAATTCTAACACTGAGACCAGCTGTGGCTCTTTTCTAAGGGATGATACAAAAAATTGAATCCCGCAGTGGGGGTATTTTTTGGTCATTATATTTATTCGTGTGCAACGATGTAAATGCATCGCGCGTTTGCATCTGTTTTTCAAACGGAACCATGCATTTTCGCACGTGAAGAGATTCCTCTCGTTATTCTGTGTATTAAAAAAGTATTAAGGTATGCTCATAGGAAGTGGAATGCTTTACGAGATATTCCATATTTCGTATTTGAAATACTTTATCCGAGTCTTTAACGCGTTTCAGCGTTACAGTGTAAACATTTCCTTACTGAATGCATTATATTTTTCGTTGAAGCTTTAAATCGTGTAGCTGTTACACTCGAACAATTAATTCTGATTTTAATCCATGTCTATTTTTGCTCTGGAATAAATTTCGCTTGATACATTGTTCTCTTTTTTACTACAAAGTAATTTAACATTACGTGGTAAAATTTATATAAGTACAATAAATTCGATACGATTATTAGATTAAATATGGGGACTGTTAATATAGAAATTAATAATGTTAAATGTAAAAGTTATAATTAAATTCAGACATTCACTAGTTGAGTGTGTAAGATAGGTTCGAATTGGTCAAAATGTACTTCTAGAATGCATACCTAATGATTGGTCCACACGTGGTACAGGGCTAAAGGAAGTTTCAAGAAGAAAATCGCGACATGTAGATTCCCTTGTGAATAGACCCAAACACCAGGCAAAGGGCAAACAAGCAGAGCCAACGGGTGGGCACGTAATCACTCGAAACCCTGTCCGATCGTTCTCGACGATCAAACCGTTCCCGTGAATCACGATTGACGCTAGTAAAATCGCACGGACACCGATTTCACTCAAGTAGGACCGCAAAGCGAACGTGACGAGTGCTCGCAGCCCCTTAAATTCGGAAATCAGAAAAATCCACGAGCCGGGAAATCACGTACTATCTGTCCACAAAGTTCTCCTCTCTTCTACCTCGGCGAGTCCTCGTTCGAAACGACACGACTCGATGATTGAAACACGCGCACGACGTTGCAATCGTGGCTGACTGACCGTCTGAGGTCAAAGAGGAGTTTTCAGAAGCGTTAAGTCCTATGATAACAGACAACAATAATGCGTGTTATATTTTACTTTAAACGAATTTTTTGTATAAGAATGGATATTGTTTCAAGGAAGGTAAAAATCGTAGCTGTTTCTGATTGAATATTAGGTTTTGGAAATGATTGCAACGAATGGAAAAACATTGTAGCACATTTTTTTTTTTAAATTTGTATTCGTTGAACCTGTACGTGTATTACTACAGTAACCTCTCACTTGAATTTTTCTGAGTCCTTTTTTGGCACGAGTATATTAAAATGCAAAAATAAAAATATGTAATCTAAAACAATATACAAAGATGAAATTATATTAGAATTGAATATGAAAATACAGGTACAAATCTGCCAGAAAATATAAATCTTTTGGTATTACATAAAAAATGAAGCTCCCTTTAAATAAGAAAATCGTATTTTTAGTTTTACACAGTATTACACCCGAGGGGTTTCGCCAACAATTGAAAGAACGTACAATGTATTAATAAAACATAACGAAACATTCCACTCTAGAACTGAAAATACATCCAGTGTATTCGAGGCTTTTTGCTGTTCACGGAAAAACAATTCCCGCCCTATAGATCGATCAACAAGGAAAATAGAAACGGTTAAAAACTGCATCTGGGAGAAACACTCGCAGCTTTCGGTTTTATCTTTGAAACTGCGATACGTATACCCGGTGGACAGTTAAAACAAGAATCGATATTCGGAGGCGGAGTAACATTAAGCGAGGGAATGCAGTAATGGTAGATGGTGAATATCAATTTCCATTGCAAAGTTTCAATTGTTCGCGACACGGTGCTTCCTCGCTGTGGATCCTTTCGCTGGCGAGAACAATTCAAGGGTGACTTTACGCCAAACAAACTATAACTTTCGTGATGACTTCGCGCTTTTATACGTATTTGTCGCTCGCGGTTGCGTTGTAAAATATTTATTGTTACACGCCAGTAAACGCTACTTCGGAAAGTGAGTCAATTTTGTCATCAAACGATCGTCGTTCTACGATTCCAAGGTTTTTACGCGATATGGAAATTGCGAATAAAAGTAGAAACGTTGTTGGTAATTCGAAGGGTTGTGCAGGATAGGAATTATTAATTTTCGAAAATTATGTGTTTTCTTGTAGTAACTATATATTTTTAGATAAGTTAATATATTTTTCAGATTACTCTCGGGTTCTTGAAATGGATCAAAGGTTCTCCACCGTTTTACTCGTCGTCGTCAGTTGGATGATAATTCTGTCAGCAAATTATGGAGCTTCGCATCGCATCAAAATAGGTGAGTAATGAATATTTATTTTCATTAATATTCCAGGAAACTGAACTTCCTTTGCGTTGGTTTCTCAAGAAAAATTATCTTAAATCGTTGATTAAAGTCTGCATTAACTACATCAATTGTAATCAATATTAATTGCAGTTATTACATATACAACACCTCTCGAACTCTATATTCGTTACATCCATTGAATCCTAAAATCACATTCACCGGAATTTCACATTTATCACGTTTAATAAAATACGCATCCATTACATTTATTAAACTCCAAATAATAACACGAATCGAAATCCAAATAACATACGATATACATGGAACATATTTTATTTACCGTCCAAAAAATTGAATACCAAAGAAATCGAACACGCGATATCCACAATATATTTTCAGCAAACATGTTTTATTTATGTCTCATTAATACAGTGAAAAGCAGATAAAATATCCAATTAAATTCTCCAGCGGAAAAATTGCAAAACGAGAAAAAGATTGAATCGAACAAATAGTACAGCGCGGTCGTGGATAAAAATACTACGGACCGGTTAATACGCGCAGAATGAATTTCCATCGTAAAATGGAGTAAGAATGTCGCAAATCAAGCATCCCCCGTGTTACTGGGCACGGATGTTAATAAAACAAAACCCAGGAGGAAACACGAGTCAACGTTTTCCGACGGTGAAGAAACAATGCGACTTACTTTTTGCGCTCGGCAACGACGAGATACGAATACACTTTTACAATAACTATTCCCAGCGGTGCGCGCGAGCACGCGTCTCCTGAAGCCAGCCCGACAGAAAAGAAATGAATATCCGCGATGGTATCCAGTGGGAGGACAGATGCACCATGAAACTAATGAAGCCTCACTTTCAGCCTGGTATTGATTTTTTTATTTAGGTATTATTCGGGAGCGCGAAAGAAACATTTTGTTTGTTCTTGGAAGATAGCATGGGTTATGTAAATAAATTAAATTTGGTTCATTTTAGTCTGAAAACTAGGAGTGTACATTATTTCATTCTAAAAGTAGCGAAACAAGATAATGCGCGGAATAAATTGAACGTACAAGTTTTCGTTAACTTGATAATTCAGAGTTATTAATAACAATACAGGTGCAATCGTTCGAGTGAATATAAAACAAGAGTAATTAACTAAGAAATTTTGCATTTGTATATACATTTTCGTAAATAAGTTATAATATGTTGAGGTTTTGAACTGTCGAACTCGTGCATACCGATTTCAATGAAGTTTGTGTTTCATCAAAAATCATGCAGCTGTCCTAACGCCCCTTTACAATCATCTGCTTTCACGATAGTAAAACTCGCCTTGCATAAAGTATTTTAGGAAGCAGCACAGGCCTGTCAGAGTACCATATTTATCCCCGACGGAAAATATTCCGTCCTTTTACGTCGAATCGAGGTAATTCGTCAGACGGAACGCGTCCGATAGCGCCGTGGAGCGTAAATTGCATGTATCTCGACGTTGGCTATACACCAGTCGAGGAACACCGGCAGTGTTTGGCAGCACTTTAGTGCCGTATTACACGACTGCTCTCACCAAGTCACGTACCTAGCCGCGGGTTACCGAAGAAGTACGCGTTTGTCATAGCCCCGGCTTAGCAGAAACTCCCCTTATGAAAATGCCCAAATATTTAGAGAGGAACGGATGGGTTTCATAAGAGGTCTGTTCCAGCGTATGCAGTGCCTGCATTTACCATGATATGTACACACCGGCTGCACACATTCCTACCTATACCCATGGACGCGAATGGGACGCAGACTGGATACCCGGTTGAGTAGCCCTTGCTGGAAAATCTCGCGAAATACATGCTTTGGTGCGCCTGAAACGTTTGTCCGAAGCGTTCGACCTCCTCTTGCACCATCTTCCAAATACATGGAAAGAATTAATCAAATTTCAGCATCGTGTCTATTGTAAGCAGTTACACTTCTGACACGCGGCATTCCACGCATCCACTTTTTCTTTTTCCTCCACTCGCAGCAACCTTCACGTGGTGAGACCTGGTAATCAGTATTACTCGCGACGAACGATTGTTCGAACGAAGTAATAGCGAGCTAATGGCTGCGATTTTGTAATAAGATCTTTAAATATAAAAAGTGGAATACCGCGCGTTAGAAGTGCAAATGCTTAGGCACAATTCTGAAATTTTATCACTTGTAATCCCTTGCATCTCGTTCTTAATATTTGGAAAGAATGAATAAAATTTGACGACTGTGTCTAAGAAGTTACATAACGCGCGGCATTCCATGCACCAACTTTTTTAATTGTAGACCTGCGTAGAATTTGTAATCTTTGAACTCGGCCTCCTAGGATTATTTTAATTGTAATAAACGTGTCACAGATAATTACATGTTGAAAGATGCGTGGCGATGGAAGATAATGAAAAGTTATCCAGCCATTCATCACTGTCTCCTTAAAATTACGACAGCGACCCGACAACGTGTTTGACGCTGCGTCCCCTTAAATTATCATTTGCATGATCCCCGGTTGATTTGGTAATTAATTTGCACATTTTTCAACTCTTTAACCGTAATACGACGCCAAGATAAATAGTTCGTGCTCGGGGGGCGCAGATTCGTGGAACCGTTTCAGCTCCTTGCTCCGTCGAGTGAGGATTCCCTGTGGCTGACTATAAACGGACCATTCTACTGCGCGAAGTCGAATCCTGTTCATTGATACACCGCCCACTGGTATGACTTCGGTACCAATAATGATATATTCCTCAGACATGTATGCACCTTAGTAACAATTAATTTTACAATTTCAGTTTATGTATGCACTCCGAAAGAAAGGTAATTTTAACGAGGAATATGTTACGTTTTTAACCTATCTTCGTTCGACTAATGAAGAGGGGTATTATTTATATATACTTAAAATGATTTGTTTGCTGAGTAATATCAACAAATCGTTTCTTTTCTTGTTATGTGTAATGAAAAAATGAAACAGAAATATTGCTATCGTGCATCACACAAATGTATATAACAAAAATGAAAATGATACAAGAGTGTATGAAATTACATGAAAGAATATCAATAAAATTATAGTTAAGCAAAATGGGGGTCGAATAATACCTAAAGGAGCAATAAATTTATTTAAATTACCTCTTCCAAATAATTTCGAGTTTACATCATTAATAACAAATCACATAAACATAAGAATGAACCTGACAGTAATTTGTATCTCGAATAAAACAACCAGTAGAAGCACCAGTTGTATCTAGTACGTATTTAAATAATGGATTGCGACTGCTTTTACGTCTGAAATAATTTCACCATTATTCTAGACTGTTAGCGAATAGTGTCGGATATAATCCAGACATTCAAACAATAGCACGCATAAAGGACGGTAAACTACAACTGAATGAGACACATAAACGTCCATTGAAGGCCTGTTTCCACGATTTTACGAGCTCTTGTCGGAGGGGGCAGCACGCGACTCGCCCTTCCCAGCAAAGCCGTTGTTGTTCACGAGAATTCCTGGTCATTCGAAGGGTTTAAGCAACCCTCGCGGGTGATTCGCTGAAATTTCCAACGTTACCTAGCCCCGTCGCGACAGTAAATAAGGATCATATTCGCGTACGACATGTCACGAGTATAAAATTCTGTGTTTCGCATTCTCTGTTTCATCGGACAGTTTTACTTACCGAGCTGTAAACTCCGTCGAACGTTTGCGAAACGATTTTGTTGCAAAATCCGAGGTACTATATAGTAGCACTCTTCAAACAATTGTAGGTTCGAAACAAAGGAGACGAATTAATTAAGAAAATGTTATACGCAAAGGATGATATTGTTTAACTTGATGAAATGGAATGAAAATTGCGGTGGTGATATTTTATAGATACTGGCAATGTATCGCAAGATTAAATTTCGGTGTTACGGTTTTCAATAGTATCTCCGATAGTAATATCGAAACACTGTATGTATTAGAATCAAAGAAAAAGGAAGGGAAGGTTTGTGGTAGGAGATTACTTTTGTGTATTTTCGCATGTGTGCAGTATAGGTGTAAATTGAGGAATGTCACAAGCTTTAGACATTCGTGGTGTATTGCTATTATTTTCGTAACAAGTTTAAATAATACACATTTCAATAAAATTATTATTATCATTACTGTAGCGCCAAATATTATATGAATAAATCTCAAACAATTTCAAGAAATTTCATATAACGATTTGACACGAGAATATCAATTTCAAAGGTCGATGTATCGATACTATCGGAACACGTCTCAGAGCCATCACCAACGATACGTGTAACGAGTCGTGCGTCCCGTTACCCAACAGAGGCAACGTCGTCCGACAAATCTTATCGAAAGGTGATACACCTTATCGTAAAAATGATTACTAACGCTATAACACTTCTGTTCTCAAGCTGAGCTCGTGCAGAGTATCTTTCCAAATGGTCGTTGAACAGCCATACGGGTTTCGAGCTGTCGTTCATCAAACCTGCAGCAGAACAGATTTCACGACAACAGCCGCGATAGTAAAGTTGTTTAGTAACGATACGGGGTCAGACGTCCACAGGGGATCGTCGATTTTCTACGCTCGAGCAGCTTCGCGGCTTCCTACGACCGGAAGAGTGGGGTAACGGAACAGGTAACGACTTCCTTTGCCCACCCCCTCCCGGAACACGCTACTCTTTTCAATCGCGGCATGCCATCGCGAAAATGCCCTCCTCCGAGTAAGTGATTACATCCCTTTCAGACGCGTAACAGGATCGGGCATGCGTGCGCGTCCATTCACCGGGAACGGGACCGGGAGACGCCTTTTCATCGCCGTTTCCCCGTAGAAAAACCATTCCCTCCTTCGACCCGCAGGGAACTTCTGATAACGTTATTAGAAGTTGTCCCTCGATCGACCCGAACCTCCGAGGAAACGACTTTTGTGCTACCGTCATCAGGGGGTCACTTTGTGCTACCAGGGGTTAGATTGTGACAAATGGTGTTTCCGGATGTCCACCCCTTTCTAGCCCCATAGAAATAGCTTCCTCTTTGTGCAG